TAAAAATTATATGTGAATTTCCGCTGCACCAGATGAGAAGCATAACACCAGATGTGACTGTAGAAATAGGTCAATCGCAGGTTAAGTGTTCATCTTTTTAAACAGTTATGTAAAATTCAATTCTTTTTTTTTAAGAAAATCAAAATGTGATTCTACCCTCCTGACTCTCCTCTATGTTACCTATTTTTGTTTTGGATTTCTATGCAGTCTTCATCGATATATTTTTCCGTCGTGGGTTCTGGTGTGTCAAAAACATGCAATGTGAATGAAGAAAATGTCACTAAACGAACTCAAAAAACACAGATTTTACGAAATCTCACTACAGACCGATGCTTAACATTTCAGACAAATCCTGATTTATACATTTATTGAGATTTGGCTGCAAACGAAGGTAATCGCTGATCAAAATTGCATTTGAGCACCACATGTGCTGAAGAGATCCATAAGTAATGTAGAAAACCATCTACAAAACTACGGACCACTTCCATATAATCATTTAATAGCCAATGTCTAGAAACAATTAAGGTTTCGTAGCTTTGGCTAAAAGTTCAATTGTAACATTAGTGTGTTTGATCACCACAGTGACAGGGCTCACTAGGTTATGCTAGCATTAGAAATACTAAAAGGGCCGAGTACATGAAAATGTTGACGCAGAGTGGATAATACTCGTATGATAAACAATTCACTAATAAAGGATATGTAACTTGGACAAACCAAACTGAAAGTATTGAACTTTGTAAAGCTATGTGTCATATACATGTAATATGTTTCTATAATAATGCTTACATTCATAAAAATATCTATCACTTAAAGCTCACTAAAGTTATAGTTATAGCGACAGTCGTTATGTGGAAATATCATGGCCTGGTGCGACATCAAAGGTTCTTCTTTACAGGATATGGGCCGAGAACATTGTCTGTAAGGAAAAACCGAGATGCCACCCCAGGTTTATGATATTTTTACATAATAGTCGAGTTCGATATATTACAACTGTTTTATCGCATGATAAACAGAAATGAGAATTTTAATAAACATAAAATTTCAATTTATAATTGGCTTCTCTTCATAAATTAAATTCCCCACTCGGAACCTCGGTTACTTTTTATGTAACGTGCCAATGACCGATATTGTAAACCCCACACCATAATTGCCAATCAGAAGTATGTTTGGTGTTTCTGATTGGTTGCATGACCAACGACACAGAAAAACATTGCTGTAAATAATTGGGACGCGCCAGTATTATGCTAACCGCCGTTTCATCCCCATTTTAATGGCATGCCAAAAGATGGATTTTTAAATTTATATCAATAAGCCGATTATTAACGATTATTGTTATTTTCTCGGGGATTTGAAATGGATAATATTGCAAGTAATGCTACTCATGAAAAGATTCATAGAGGCAGTGTCTCTTAGCGCAAAATAACATGAAGAAAGAAAAAAAGGTTTATAAACAAGTACGTCCATGCACCAGACAAAACTTTATACAAACCCATTACCAATTACCTAACTCCGATCTGAAAAATTAATAATTTCGGGGTTTTTTTTTTTGTTTGTTTGTTTTTTGTTGTTGTTAGTGTTAGTTTTTGTGTTGTTTTTTTTTTTTTTGGGGGGGGGGGGGTGTGTTCAGCCTAAATTTTGGCACAGTCCAGTGACCCATGTGCACTGTGCGTTATTGTCAATAGAGCATGCTACTGGCATATAGCAGTTGAAAAGTATCAAAGAAAAATCACTGCACCACGCGATAACTGTATTTAATAGATGTTCACTCACAAGCACAAATATTTGCTTACTGGTTACCATGCAGTGATATACAAGTTAACCTCCTCATAAGAACTGTCCCATAAGAATTATTCTTCCAATTAAGCAGACAGTGCAGTCGAGTGAATAATTAGTTAATAAATTAATGCATGACGTCATAAAAAGGGAATGATTGCAGTACATATGACGCCAAAAAATCAAAATAAGCAAGGCCTTTCCACCATATCTACGTATTTTCAAAACCTTTAGTATGCAGAACGTCTTTTATCTCTTTCGATATGGATACTATGTTATTCAAGCTCGTTTCGTGAAAATTGTCTGTTTCGAATAATAGTTTTTATTTCAGAATGATACACAAAAGAATAACTTATCATTTGCTTTATGAAAGTGATGCGTAATTATGTTGCTATTTTTTATATTATGCACATTTGGATCTTTTCAGCACATATGGAGCTCAAATGCAATTTTGAGCAGCGATTCCCTTCGTTTGCAGCCAAATCTCAATAAATGTTTAAATCCGGATTTGTCTGAATGTTAAGCATCGGTCTGTAGTGAGATTTCGTAAAATCTGTGTTTTTTAGTCCGTTTAGTGACATTTTCTTCATTCAAATTGCATGTTTTTGACACACCAGAACCCAGGACGGAAAAATATATCGATGAAGACTGCATATAAATCCAAAACAAAAATAGGTAATATAGAGGAGAGTCAGGATGGAAGAATCACATTTTGATTTTCTTAAAAAAGGGTTGAATTTTATATAAATGTTTAAAAAGATGAACACTTACCCTGCGATTGACCTATTTTTACAGTCACATCCGGTGTTCTGCTTCACATCTGGTGCAAATTGCAAAATAATGATAATTACTGTTTTTGCGGAATTTTGGCGGCCATCTTGGACGCCATCTTGGATTTCTTGATTATCCGACCATTTGGGTAAAAACGAAATACCGTTTCGTATTCTACGAACCGTTGTGAACATTTTGGTCTTTAAAATTTACTGTGCCTAGACATAGCCGGTAGGTTCCTACTAATGCTAATGAATTGTTTAACATCAGCCAATGTCGCATAGCACCATGATAACCCAAAACTACTGCCGCTTTCTGTCGGCAGTTTTTGGATAACAAATTTTGTCAGTATTTGTTTCTGTCATGTACGATTGGGTTTTCTATGAGTGATCTCATTATTTGATAAGATTCTCTAGTATGTCGTCCTAAATGAACGTTCATAAGGGTCCGTACGTAGTCCTTCCGAAGGAGTATATTTTGTTTTCTTCTGATTTTTTTCCTTATAACTATATTGTAACTATGGAGCAGCATGCTTACGTAGGAAATGAGAGGTCACAGCATATGCATATCTAAGCAAACATAGGTATGTTTATATGGAACACAGTCTGCGCGTTATAAAATGTCATTATACTCCTTGTGAGAGTTTTTTTTTATAAAATGACTAAAGCGCATTAAATTTTATCAATATTTACTTGATTAAACGCACGACGTTTAATTGTACGTGTGTACAATTAGGAAATTCGTTATAATAACATGGGAAAGAAGCGAATTCATATAACAACAACGTGTTCTTTCCAGTTATTTTCCAGAAGACAGGGCGTGGTCTGTCCTTCAGTCTATCTGTCAAGTGTTGGTTGGTCACATTTTGAATCGAGCATGAAAAATATTATTTTTATTAAAAAATCTTCATATATGGTTACATGTTTGTGAAAAGTGCAGTGTAATAGAATCATAACTATGCTTTTTCAAAATTTTGGAGTAATTGCCCTTTGAAATTTTTCATATTTGTTTAATGCGGGGCATAATTCATGATGAAATAGAGATATAAGTTTGAAACTTCATTAATGTATAGATATTATTAAGGAAAATGTGCAGTGCACAAGAACTATAACTTTTTTGGGTAAAATAATTAATCTATTGCTCTTTGTATTTTTGCCTCACCTAAACATTTTTTCTATGGCATAACTTATAAAGAATTGGATCGAAAATTTCACGGACAGATAGATCTCATAGAGAAAAAGTGAAAAGAAAAAAAGTTAAAAAAAATAATCATAATTCTTTGTTTTATTTTTTTGGAGTTATTGCTCTTGTATACTTTATTTTTATATTGGTTCATAATTCAAGAAATGTTAAATACATTTTGTACTTCCTTGAATGTTTATATATTGTTGGATCGGATATAGGCAAAATGCAGTGTCTAGAAGCCTAACTAATTTTGCTCAAAAAAGAGTTACTGCCCTTTAGTTTTTTAAATTTATTTTAGTAAAAGGTATAACTCAAAATGTATTAAAAATATCAACCTGTATTATTTTCATTAAAGAAAAGCGCAAGTTGAAGCCTAAAACTGTGGAACCAACATTATTTTAACATTTAATTTGTCTTTGGGGCAAAACTAAAAAGGATTTGAGGAAAAATACATTTTGTCAATTATAATTCTAATATGCATAATTTTGGAGTTAAAGCCAACTGTAGATTTTTAAGTTTTAAAGAAGTTCTAATTATTAGATAGGTTTCCTGTTGAAAACAAGAGTTATAATGAAACCTGTTACGGAGAGACCTTGTTAACCATTTATATTCTGTAAGGCCTCTTAGAGCCAAAGACACTAGCACTGTTACTAAAAAATAAATAATTGGTTCCAGCCATTGAGCTAGGAATGAAATGTTATAATCAAACTTATTATATAACAAGCGGGGGCGTCCGTGACCGGATGGTTAAGGTCATTGACTTCGAATCGCTTGCCCCTCACCGCCGCGGGTTCGAAACCCGACAGGGACTTTGGATTATTTCATGTGAGAAAGCTTTCGAGTTAGCTTATGGAACGTCGTTGGTTCTACTCGGGTGCCCGTTCGTGCCAGAAATGTTGCACGGAAGGGTACCTGAGGTCTTTCTCCACAGGTTAAGCTGGAACGTCGGCATATGACCTATACTGTGTCTGTTTGACGTAAAACCCAATCAAACAAACAAACAATTAAACAAATTATATAACAAACTTTCGTTAAAACATCGCTTTTGGTTGCTTTTGTCTCCTATAGGGTTTATATAGACCTATAGGTTGTTTTTGAAAATAGAAAAATGATTTTTTGTCGCTGTCAAGCCGTTTCTGTCTGGACAGTCATTCCTTTGTACTGGAATAATTAAATTACTATAAGTATGTTATCATTAGTTGATGTTTGACCATTTTAATGCTGTTTTTGAGTTGTAACCTTCTAAAGATATGTGACGATATTCATTACAGGTATTGAAAAAGCAAAACAAGACCATACAAAAAAATGAATGGTAAGTGCTGTCTTATCGTTCATACGTGTTAAAAACATATTTCAGTAGATTTTTCTTTACACTTCATAAATTACAATGCAAATAAGCGCGTCAAGACTGTTTTTGTGTAGTGGTACCCATACTAGACCGACAATCCAGAGACCCTTTTTCTGCCGATTAAACCTAATAAATACATAAATACTTTAGACGTTATAAATTATGAGAACGGAATATTTCTACCTCCTACTAGTTTTTAAGTATTCGGATAAATAGTTCGAATATTAAAACCTCTCTTAGAATTCCACTAAATAAAATTCATATGATAAATGATATCTCGAAGAGGACAATCATTTCAGCTCCCTCAAAGTCATTTTATTTATTTTTCAACGAGAACTCGTGCTTTATAATTGTGAAATTGTTAAATCACGGGTTGTGTTTGTTTTCAGGTGAAGATTAATCAAGAAATTAAAAAAACTTTTAACAAAGCCTCGTGAAACTACAAACTTCCGACACAGATCCAAATGATTGCTGCTCTGATTAAAAAATTGCTTCAAAAAGTATTTTTGCAATTAAAGGAATGCTTGAATCCGATGATTTTTCATATCGTGTTTATATAAATAAATATATTTGTATATAATATTTATTGGAATGGATAATTCTAAGCCTACAAATAAAGATTTTAAAGTTTTTTACGGTAAATTTAAATAAACCAATTCGTAAAATCAGATTTAGCTGTGCATAGATATTTTAAACGGAATTCGGTGAAAATTGTAATGTTTTTTTTAACGTCGTGAATTTGTCATTGAAAGCATTGATGTCATCATCAAAATAAGCAAAACATTTAATATACTTAATTATTTACGAATATACAGACATGAATATAAACAGAAGTGTTTTCAAAGATTTAATAATATATTAAACTTTTTTTTACTTTGAATGATGTAGACTGACTGAATTTATTTTGAGGGAAGCAATGTTTTCTTGCCCCTGTTGAGTTATATAAAACATTGCAATTTGACTGATTTGGAGACACAGGCAAAATTTTAATTTCTTAGATTTTAATTTTTCATTCATTATTATGTAAATGTCATCAAAATGAATACACTTAACAGTCAAAAGAACAAAACTTTTCTCCATATAAAGAGTAAAATGGTGTTTTCCTAACTTGACCCGCGTGGGTCAGGTTAGAGCGCTGTGATTTCACAATAGTTGTCACTGTGTACTCTGGAAACGTTAAACAACATGTCAAATCAATTACTTAGACTTGTTTTACCATACAATATCTGCAATACCTGTTATAGTAACTTCCAGGGTTTGTTCTAATCACATGACTTGTTTTTAAACTATTCGGTGATTCTGTTGGCGACCAAATTTCGTTCAACATATATAAATATATTTAAGCTTCAAACCCAAAATATATAGAATCTATACAGAAATTCATGCTAGGACTTTAGGAAAAGTCAATCTAGGGTGATTTGAGTACAGAAGATCATTTTTGTATTTTTGTCATTATTTTGCCTGTGTATCCCTTTAACAAAAAACGTGTTAAAGAGAATATTATTTTCCTTTACCAGTGGGCTGTTGATAAAAATGAAATCTATACAATTTATTACTACTGTTTTTTTTTTGTGTGTTTGATGAATGACTGTACTGATTTTAATTATCTATGATATATATGTTGTTTGGTTGATCTTCATATGACCGAAATGAGTTCGTTCATTTTTATTCTTAAAAAACTTCGTGTTTCTGTAACGAACTTTCATTACATTTCCAATGTATGCACTTGTTTTATTTAGTTATGGTTAGTTTGTAAAGAATAAAGTGATAAATTAATTAATAAAAATTAATAATGGTATATTTGCTTATTTTTAGCTTCACTCTTCAGACAAACAAAAAAGGTGGAGCTTTTAAAACGACCCTCTCGTCAGCGTCAGCGTTTGTTAACCTTTTCGTTATGGTTTATTTTCTCAGCAACGACAAAAGTTATTTACTGTTGTCATAAAAAGACGCCTTTTCATAAAGGGAAGACAATCCTAGCATTATTTTACGCCCTTTTTCCATGCCTAATGTTTCTAATAAGGACCATTTTCTCATAAGGTATCAATCAAAATTATTCATTTTAAACTTTAGCATGATTGTTCACTATCAAATATAACATCATTTGAGATAACTTTATCATTCAACTTTTCATAAATATACATCCGTTTTACTTTGAATTTTTTATGACGATAAAAACATATGGTAACACTTGTGTTTTTGATCATTATATTGAAAATTATGTTTTATCTTTAGTCCTAAAGTTCATTAATTATATGTCATCTGTTCGTAGTAGTAGTGTTAGATAAATATATAGATTATAACGGAACCTTATACATTGAGAAATGACAAATGTAACCCTTGAAATTTGGATATCTCATTTTGATCAATAAATAAATGCTGCCGTACCATACATTAAGCTAAATTGTGTCTGATTTTTGTCCATACCTATTTCCAGCGCGTCGCGTTTTAAATGGTTACGTCACATGTCTAAATATAGACCTCAACAGTAATTTTGGAAAATGTTCATCCTAGCTGTGCTTGCATACCTATTTCAAGTACGATGATTTTTTTTTTTGTTCCGCAACTGTATTTTTTAAACTTGCCCTTTAAAAATCATATTCAAAATGGCAGCAATTTACTTTTTTTTATTTTTACTTTAATTCTCCGATAGGAGAGATATAAAGCCATTTTTTTAAATCTGATTTATGGCTTTGTTAAGTTTAGTCTTCTGAAGTGTTAACTTGAAGAATAGATGGTAATAGGATAAAATTAATTAAGACAGCCATCTTAGATTTCCAATACTTCTATATACTGTATACTGTGAACGAGTTCATAAATAAGATAAGTTTATAATGCAAAAGAATCACAAATTATATCGCAATTAAAGAGTCATATTTGTGTTTGTCATTTAAATGTTATTTTTATACTTCTAAGCATACAATAAATGTTGATATAAACTATTGCGATGTCTAACCATACAGTAAATATTCTTTAAAACATATTAAAACATGTTTATTAGTTTATTGCATATTTTCACACACTTTCGGTTTTTCTGTGTTCTATATTGAATAGAATTAGTGTTAGAATTTGTGATAATTTATTATTCAAAGATTATTTATTAATGTATATTCATGTGTGTAATATTTATATAAAAAATTGTATATCTTGACCATATCTGGTATGAATAAATGGTCCAAGACGTTTGAAATAAATTAATAGAAAAAAAAGTACTTGTACTTGACTGATAATGGATATAATCTTGAATAAATTGTTGAAAGTATTATTGATTATTATTTATGGTCATTATATAAACATTGTTTTTTTATTGCAATAAGTAAACTTATAGTGATTTAGTATTTTGTATGGAATTCAAAATACTACTTTCTTTACTTTTTGTTACTTTTATGACATATTAGTTCATTATTAGCGCTTATTTCTACAAGCAACGAAAATGCTCTAAAACGATTATTTGAACATTACAAAATTCATGATGGCAATTTCTAAAAATGTAAAAAAACTACTATTCAATTCTGAGCCAAAATGTGCCTTTGAATGTAGAAAAATATGTATAAATATATTAGAAATAGTAAGCAAGCTTCATGTGCATATCACTAAAAGGCTAAAAGGATTTGCTACATAAGGCTTTGTAAACTTAACAAAATAAATGCATTTTTATCTGGATGATTTTCAGTCATCACACATTTATATTGACAAAAATGTGGCTTGTGTTTTAGTATTGTACAAGACAAAACATCTATCCTTTTCAATATCAATTCAGTGCTGTGTCGCTCTGCTGATTACGGAGAACATGTAGTTTAGCAAACCTTTTTGAAGAACATTGTTAGGGATGTAAACAAATCAAATCAAACTGTAAATAGATCGAACAGTGAGACACATCATACAGACATTACCCAAGTCATGTCCCTTATTGTCCACCAACGACGATAATACAGATCCATAATGACATGCGTCAGTGCCTAAATTTGTTTTGACTATTTTGCAACTTTAAACAAACTAACATCTGTTGTTTTAAGAACTAGTTTAATTAGTGCATGAATATATTGGTATACTTCTTCATAAATACGTCTTGTATTCTTTGTTTGATCCATTAGGTTTCTATGGTTGTAAGTAAACGTTTTTGAACACTTTATTAAAACATATCGTATTTGGTTGTCCGTACGAAATGCACATGTTTATTAAATATTCGTTTTCAATCTACTTAAAAATAAGATAACAAATATGCTATTAATCCAATATGCGCTGTTTGAAGTTTATCATAAAATGAAAAAGAAATATTTATCATAAAATATTTTACCTTATATAGTTATTCAAATAACTAAAAAAATTTTAATACACTTATTATAATTATAATTGTTGTTTACTTCAAAGTAAAGCTTGGATAAGCTCGCTATAACATCACTCCAGAAGAAATAATTTTTGCCTTTAAATATTTTCCTTCAATAATTATGATAATCAATCGCCATGTTTGTGCTGGTCATATTTTAGACATTCAATATATTGCATAGCAGTTAATGTTTATACATGTTAAAACCGAATGAAGCATTTCAATAATGAAGTAATAGCAATTGTCCATGTGATGTTATTCTAGACTGATAAAAACGTTTTAAAAATTAAAGTCATTACGAATGATGTATTTGTAATAATTAAATAAGCAGACTAAATGAAACAAGCGCTTATTGAGTATATACCGAGTTTTTAGACATATAATGAGTGGCAGTTATCTGACTAGCTTGCAGACGTCGGTTGTTTACTAAAGTGACTGTTTATGCCTAAAAATGCGTGGGTGCACTCCTCAGGCAGTTTATATTGCATGACCCGATACACGTAATTAATAGTGTCAGTTTAACTTTGCAAAACATATATTTTCAACATTACTGTTCTTTTTTACACTTAACCGATATTTCTTTAACGTTTCCTAACCGATTGCGTGACCACATAATCTTACGCTTTGTTGGATTTTTAAAATGGTAACTTTAACTAGAAGAGAAATAAACAAATGTGAAACTTAACCTGTACAAAAGACGACCTTGGCAAGGAGACAAACAGACATTATTGATTACTAGTGAAAGCATTGCTTTAACCTGACTTTCGTTCCTTCATAAAGCCATGTTATAAACAAGTATGTTCCTCAACATTATATAAAGTGAAGTCCATTGAATAATATGTTTCATATGTCAGATATTTTGTAACAAGTTGATCACATTTCATATTTGATCAAAAATAATATTCACAGTGTTTCACTGTTTTTATTCTAAAATGACATGAGATTAGCATGTTTTATTACTCGGAATGAAATTTAAAGGTCTATTATGCCTCCGAAATGCCAACACTTTTATTTTACAAAATCCTTTTATTGTTGGTAATCTGTTACAATTTTCAAATTAGAATCATTTGCAATAAAGGCGAACAATATTTTGCATCTTTTGGTCTTGTGGTAATTGTTATAATTATAGTGATTTAGTATATTGTAAGGTGGTCAAAACACTATTTCTTAGTTAAGATTTGGCAACCATAACAACATATTCCTGAACGTTCAGGGCTACTTCCTTCAGGAATTTGGTAAACATCTTACATGCTCTTAATCCATAATTGAAACATTATAAACACATATTTGACATTTCTAAAGAATATAAAAAATATGGAATTCTGAGGCCCAATGTGCCTTTAATGCATTTTTATTCTAGACTAATACATTATTCTATCAATACAAGAAAGCTTTTCTTTTCCATGAGTCTTGTTTTTTTCCATGAGTCATGAAAATACCAATTATTAAATATCATATAGCTGGCAATTTTTAATCATTCACACGAATTTGAAATAGTTTTAAAACTGAAATGTTTAAAGCGTGTTTCTCCAGTCCAGATATGAAAAGCCATACGTTATAAAATATTTACAAGTATTAAATATAATTTATTTTGCATTCAATGAGATATGAAATAAATATGCCTGTTTGAATG